CAAACAAACAAAAAAACCTTGTACCTACAGTACAAAAGTAACTCTTACAATTCATTAAGGGATGATCCAACTTGACATTGAGCAAAAAGGTCATTTTTCCATATATTTACAGGTGGCCACAAAGCACACAGAAAGATGATTAACATTATTCGATACCAGGGAAACACACAAAACCACAACAGACACCACTTCAAATCCACTAGAACAGCTCCAGGTTAAAAAAAAAAAAGATAACAACAAGTTTTGATAGGGATTTGGAGCAATCAGAACCTTCATATATGCTACTGGGAATGTAAAATACAGTCACTCTGGAAAGCAGACTGGCAGTCCCTCCAAAGACTACCAGGATTACCATATGATCCAGCAATCCCACTGCCAAGGAAAAGGACTACATAAATCTGTACAAGACTAAGTATACCAATATTCATGGCGGCATTGTTCACAATGGCTAAAAAATGGAAATAACTCCAAGTTCTTCAACAAATGCATGAGTAAAATGTGGTATATCCATATACGGATCCTTGGGCAATAGCAAGGAGCGAGGAGGTGCTGATATTTGTCACAACATGGATCAATTATTACTCTATTCATATGGAAATCCAGAGAGAGAAAACAGGGACCACAGGCACAGCTCTTCAGGGGAATACTTGTCAACCACGCACAAGGTTCTGGGCTTGATCTCCAGCTCCTCAAAGCAACAAACCACCCAAACAAAATAGATTAGGGTGGGTTAGAGGGAAATGGGGGTGACGGCCAAGGGTACAGGTTTCTCTTTGGGATAAGAAGAATAGTCTGAAGTCAACTGTGATGATAGCTGCACAGATCTGTGACTATATTAAAATTCACTGACTTGTGCACTTGAAATGATTGGACCGTATGGCATGTGAATTATATCTCAATAAAGCTGTTATTTTAAAAAACAGAAAGAATCTATCAGGGCTTGCAGCACTATAGCAGAGGGCCAATGCGAGGCAGACCCATAGCCTGGGCAGAAGCACCCATCCGCCTTGTAGCTCACAGAAGATGGAGATGAGAAGGCAGAAGCTGCTGCTGTCAGCACAGCAGCAGAGCAGGCCAGTGTCCAACTTCCACTGTCACCTAAACTCACACAGGGCTTCCCACCAGCTCAGGGAGCCCAGGCGAGCTCCTGAACCCTTTCGCAGAGTCTTCTTCCCTGTTCCCACGTCCTCAGTCTCATTCACTTAACATCACTCTCATTAAACTTACAAGGTCTTGGCCAATATCCTTTAGTCTTGGCTGCCCAAGAAAGAAATGATGGCAGAGATAGAGTTTCAAGTCTCAGTGTGGGTAGCTAAGAATGGAATGAATAGAGGCAGTTACTGAACAGAAGAGAGTGTGGAGGGGCATCAGATAAGAAACACGATGTCTCCACAGATACTGGGCATGGCAGCGCACCCCTGTAATCCCAGCACTCAGGAGACTGAGGCAGGAGGATCACCTTGAGTCTGAGGGCAGCCTGGGCTACACAGTGAGTTCAAAGCCAGTTTGAACTGTATAATGAGACCCTATCTAAAACTAGAAAAGGAAGCCTCCATGGCATGCCAGGGAAAAGCCATATTCTACCCTACTCTGCAAAGGTCAGAGTGGATCCTTCCTGCATCTAGTGCCTTCTTCCTCGAGGGTCCTCAGACCTGGGGGCAGTCAAAACTGTCTATCCCCAGGCCACACCCCCTAGGACCGTTCTGCTTCATGGTCAAACGTGGTCAAAGCCGTGTTGCTGAGATGTCTCCCTTTCAGCCAGCCCATCTCCCGACTGAGCACCCATTATATATTCAGCCGTGACTTTCCTGCTCCACACTCCTCTCCCAGCAGCTGGTACTGACTTCCTGGCATCAATGCTCCACCCGGGTGTGACAACATCCCTGAGCCACTGGGTGACCTCAGAAGACCTGGCAAGCTAGAGCTCACCTTCCCTGACCAGGGTTCTTCGCCCAGCCACCTGCAGGCAGCCACGTCTCAGCCTAGCCCACGTGGGTGTACACCCTCGAGGACAGGCCACAGAAAAGTACAGAAGAGTCCCTTCTTCTAAGAATCAACACTGTCACACAACGAACGTGTAAGCAGTCACCCCAAGAGCTGCCTCCATACTTGGAAAGGAATGTCACCTCTTTAAAGGAGACTTAGCTGGGAATAGTGGCGTATGTCTGTAATCCCAGCACTTAGGAGGTTGAGGCTGAAGGATCAACAGGAGCCCGAGGCCATCCTGGGCTACACATTGAGTTCAAGGTAAGTAAGCCTGAACTACACAGTGAGACCCTGTCTCAAAGGAACAAAAAAATTTTAAATTTTAAAAATTAAAAAAAATAAAAGAGACTTACTATTATTTATCATGAAGAATATCAGCTTTCAGTACCCTGTCTCTGACAGCACCTGTCTCTGAGAATTTACATCAGCAATTTCAGAGCGATCATCATGTATTAAAACAGAAAATGACCTCAGAGACAAAGTATCAGCCTAAGGGCAAACTGCTGCTATAGACTGTTTGTGTCCTCTCCTCAAACTCCTTTGTGGAAATCATAGTCTGCAATGATGGTTCTGGGGGACAGAGTTTATGAGGGGCCTAGGCCTTGAGAACCACTAAGAAGCAGCCCTTACCAAGGGGATCAAAGCCCTTAGGAAACAGAACAGCTCTGAAAATGTGTGCACACAATGCATAAACTAACTGGCTTGATTTTGCTATTCCACAACATACAAGTATTTTTGTATGCATATCTTAAAACATTATGCTGTAAGTCAGAAATATATACAATTTTATTTGTTAATTAAAATAAATGTCAAGGAACAAAGTGAGAAAGAATACTTCCAAAAGTAGAAATACCGTTGGAGTATTTTGTGCCTGAAACTAAGTAATGTCCAAAAAACCAAACCAAACCACACTTGAATCTTTCATTTTACTGTGGAAATAAAAGCTTTGCCGGTTTCTGCAGTAAGAGACCACAAATCAGGCAAAGATATTCAGATGAACTACAGGATAACTAGAATAGTTTCCTGGTCTCTGGATTTACTTCTTTATGTATTTTCTGTCTATTATATGCCAGTCACAGTTCTACAGAGTGGACACAGAGCAGTCAACAAAACAGATGAACACAACCCAACCAGGGAACTCCATCTTTCACAGCATGTACAAGGACAATCTCAGGTCTTAGCCAAACACTGAGCTAACACTCCTGCATGGAAACCTTCTGCAAGCATCCTCGTCAAGAGAAATTAAAACTATGATCTTAGGGTACCAAACTTCATATTATATATGGCCAAATACAAGGCAATGATTTCTCCAAAAATCATCCCCAAGAGAATGAACAGGGGGATATAACAAATGGGTATCATGTTATAGAGACAAAATTTAAATTTGTTTACTTTGAAATAGCAACCTTAATCAATATTTTTTTTTTTTTTTTGGTAACTGGGAATTGAACTCAGGACCTTGCACTGGCCAGGCAGGCACTTGTGCCACTGAGCTGTATCCCTGGCCCAAATCAATACTTTTTGATGCTTATAGGTCACCAGAAAGGACTGGCATAGCAAAAAGAAATAAAGAAATGCAATGCCTATTAAGATGTTTATCTCAAAATTCTAAATTTAGAGGTGGCTATAAAAAAGTTATATTTCAAGAGAATTTTTTAAAGGGATAAGTAAATGATTTTGATATAGAGGATGCCTGAGATGCAAGATGAATGAAAATTAAAAACTGCCCTAATATTATCTTAATACAGTTTTCTGATTTAGAATACTTGCCAGTGACAACACTGTGATACTTAAAATAAAGACAATGTCCACAGCAAAACCATGTTAGACTGATTTTAAAAGTGGTTCAAATGATGGCTGAAATACTGATGTTACAGGTGAAGAGTAAAAGTTTCGCTAAATATTGACACATATGTGTTTTTTAACAGTACAGATATCAAACTGATACATTAAATGAAATAGTCATCTGGCTGTTTCATCTCTAGCCTTACATGTTTATGTATCCAATAGGTGTCCACAAATTTTTTCAGACATAGATGGAAAAATCAGTCACTTAAAATCAAAGTTGCCTTGTCCACATGCATATAAACTTGTGCCAACTGAGCTGGACCATGTCATCATGCCTTTATTTATTTATTTTTCATTTTTGAGACAAGGTCTTGCTATGCAGTTCAGACTGGTCTGGACTCACTATGTAGCCCAGGCTGGCCTCAAACTCACAGCAATACTCCTGTCTCTGCCTCCCAAGTGCTGGGATTACAGGTGTGTGCCACCATGCCTGGCTTGATCATGCCTTTATAACAAAGCTGGAAAAGCAGAAATAATCTAACATTTACTAGCACCTACAATATACCAGACCTTGTACTGTGGGCATTCACATAAAATATTTCATTTATAAACCAGGTGTGGTGGTACATGCCTGTGAGCCCAGTACTCTGGGAGGCTGAGCAGGAATATGGCAAGTTCAAAGCCAGCTTGGTAAGAAGGTATATTAAAATTTTAAAAATGGTGAGCAGATATAGTTCAGTGTGAAGGCCCTGAGTTCAATTCCTAGTACAAAAAAAAAAGTCACTTCTATTTACTTGTGACTCAGTACTATTGGGCATCTAGGATCACCTTCCTGGCTCAGGGTCCTTTTCCATGCTATTGCAGTAATGGCAAACCTTTTAGAAGCCAAGTGCCATGTGAAAGCTCAGACAGGTCATAGCTAATGAGTCATGGCTTGTGACACCATCACCGGGCACTGGTACTCCTTCCCAACCATGTATATGGTCCCAACATGCGCTGTTATCCTATGCTGGGCTGCTCGGTGACTTGGCTTGAGAGCCAACAGAGAGGGTTCTGTGCGGCTGCTACAGCACAGGTGCCATAGGTCTACCACCAATGTATTACAATATCAGTATATTTCACTTTGGAAAAAGTTTACTTCCCCCACAGTGCTCCAAACAAGACTGCATCTGTCTACCTGAGTGTGGCCACTTCGTTTTGTCAGCTTCACTCGAGTTTGGTCCAGGCAGGGGACATCCCCATAGCGGTTCTTCTCTAGGTTTCCTGGGGACCTGAAGGAAATGAAATGGATACGGAAAACTGAAGAAAAAGTAATGATGGCATGGTGACACACACCTATAATCCTAGCAATTTGGGAGGCTGAGGCAGGAGGATCACAAGTTCAAGGCTAATCTGTGTAACTTAGCAATACCTTGTCTCAAAATTAAAAATAAAGGGAGGTGGTCTGGGATGTAGCTCAGTATAAAGGTCCTGTGTTCAAATGCCAGTATCCAAAAAAAGTAGGGCTAGTGTGTGTGTGTGTTTGTGCACATACACGTGTCTGTATGCCTCCATATATATACACAAGGACTGGCAATGTAAAAGTTGGATGTTAATCACTGCTGGAGTGGGACATGGGAGTTCTTTACTCTCTGGTGTACATGGCTCCACATCATATGACTTCATTTTCTTTTGTGCTGGGGCTTAAACCTAGGGCTTCAGGCGTACTAAGTATGTGCTCTACCACTGAGCCACACCTCAGCCCTGGTTCAGCCTTTTTTTGAGTATACACTGTTTATAGGAAAGTGAGAGGGAGCCCACATAGACTAGGACAGACGTCTGTGCTGTTGGGGGTGCTGCTGTAACAAGTACCCAAAATGCCAAAGCAGCTTTGGTTGTGGTAAGAAGCAAGTGTGGACATGATCTGGAGGCACACACTAGACATAGCAGTCCACACCGCCACCAGCAGAGCAGCAAAGGCCATTCTAGCAAGGCTCAGAGCAGAGCTTCAGCAAAAGCCTTGGTCTCAGAGAATAAGAGGCTATAATCAGATGCAGATAAAGGCCTCTCTGATCAGGTACAATATCACAAACAATCTAGCTGCACATAACTGTTTCTACTATTCATTTATCAAAAGATGCTCAAAATCAATTTCTTCCTCCCCCTTTTCTCTCTCTCTCTTCCCCACCCCCGCCACATACTGGGGACTGGACCCAGAGCCTCACATATGCAAGGTAACCCCAGCCCTTGTTTAAAAATTATATTTTGAGCTGGACAGGGTGGCACATGCCTATAATCTCAGCAATCGGGAATCTGAGACAGGAGGCTAGGGTTTGAGGCCAGCCTGGGCTCCATAGTGAGTCCAGCCGGAACTGCATAGCAAGACCCTGTATCAAAAAATAAAATAAAATTATATTTTGAGGAAGGATCTTATTAAGTTCCCCAGACTGGGCTCAAATTTACAATCCTCCTGACTCAGCCTCACAAGTAGCTGGGATTGCAGGTGTGCATCATTATACTCAGATAAAATAAATCTTGAAGTTCCACTTTAACATGATGGACTGGTAGTTAACTCAAAAATGACTCCACTCCATCCAGCAGCCAGAGATTTTAACCTGTTTTGGCAGAAAAAGCAAATGAGAGGACTTGGCTGACTTGGCCAAATGCAAGAAGGTAGGGCCTAGGGAGTACTGACTGAGAGACAAAAACAACTCACCTTCAGGAACCCCATACCCTGGAAGGTAAGGTGAGACAAAAGGGTAAAACAGGAAGAAATCCAGCACTGAGGAGGCTGAGGCAGGATGGTACCTGCAAGTTTGAGGCCAGCCTGGGCTACAAAGTAAGTTCAAGGCCAGCCTGAACGGCATAACAAAACCTTGTCTCAAAAAAAAAAAAACATAAATAACAACAACAAAAAAAAACCACAGAAAGAAATGAAAACCCAAATGCTCCACAATTACAATCACTACCCTACTCTCCCTGTTCTGTCTTACACTACATTCATATCCAGGCTTGTATCCCTTCCCACAGGCAAGAGAATAGAGCACTCTTATCTGGAGAAAGTGAACAGCTACCAGGAAAAGAATTCTGTCATCTGGAGTTGTCTAACAAGCTGTCTGATCATTTCAACTTGAAGCTCATCTATGCAAACAGCTTCCAAGCAACTTTGAAGGATCCTTTTCCTAAGTGAGAATCCACAACACACAAGGATCTCCCGATAATTAAAGAAAGCCCCTAACAAAGGATGCTAATTCAAGCCAGCACAGTAGCAAACCTGTAATCCCAGGTACCAGGGAGGCTGAGGCAGTAGGATTTCAAGCTCAAGACAGCACAGTAGCAAACCTGTAATCCCAGGTACCAGGGAGGCTGAGGCAGTAGGATTTCAAGCTCAAGACAGCACAGTAGCAAACCTGTAATCCCAGGTACCAGGGAGGCTGAGGCAGTAGGATTTCAAGCTCAAGACAGCACAGTAGCAAACCTGTAATCCCAGGTACCAGGGAGGCTGAGGCAGTAGGATTTCAAGCTCAAGACCAACCAGGGCAATTAAGCAAGCCCCTGTCTCTATGTAAAGTAACAAAAAAGGCTAGGGATGTAGCCTTGCACTCCCTGGGTTTAATCCCCAGTATAAACAAATTCAAATACAAATACACATGGAAAAAAAGCACAAAAGACAGTCAATAAAAGGATTTCTAAAAGGCTATAATTAATATCCTCAAAGAGAAAAGCACTATCATTATAAATGAAACAAGAATAGAATGCTTTGAAAAAGGAACAATCAGAAGATAAAAACTGTTAAAAAGTAAAAATTCTATCTTGGGGTATTGCTCAATGTTAGGTCACTTGCCTAGTATGCAGGAGGCCTTTGACTGGAACCCTAGCACAGGGCACAGTTGGCGGGGGGGCACATGCAAATCAGGAGCTTCAACATATCAAAGCTGTGGAAATTTCTCAGATATGAAACAAAGAGGAAGGCTAGGCATGGTGGCTGCAAACCTGTAATCCCAGCATTCAGAAGGCTGAAGCAGGGGATTGCTGGGAGTTCAAGGCCAGCCTGGGCTACAAAGTGAGTTCAAGGCCAGCCTGAACTGCATAGTGAAACCCTGTCTCCAAAAAAAAAAAAAAAAAAAAAATAAAAAAAAAAAAAGGAGAGAAAATGTAAGAAAATTGTTCCAGGAAAGAAGTCAGCACACTATGGCTGTATCTGTAAATAAAGTCTTATTAGAAGAACACAAAGCACATTTGCTTATATACTCACCAAGTACATATCAAAGTACTTGCAACACAGTTCCAGTCTAAAATATTTACTATCTGCTCTTTACAAAATGAAAATGCCAACTTTTCCTCCAGCCAATGGTAGCGAACCTATGGCATGTGTGCTGCAGCAGGCTGTCTGTTATCACTGACAGCTCTGAATGGTTCACCATCAGTGCTTCTAGGAGATCTGACCAGACTGCTAGGAATATGCTAGAGAAAGACACTACTAAGTGTGGAGAATGGAAGGACAAAAAAACATAAGAAAAGAAAAATCCATAGATGGGGCCTGAGGTACATACAGGGCTTCTCAAGATGGAGCAAGCCCTGGTCTCAATGCCTAGCATTAAAATAAAAAATGTCCTATGGCCAGGTGTGGTGCTACACACCTGTAATCCCAGCACTTGGGAGGCTGAGGACTGCCAAGAGTTTGAGCCCACCCTGGGTTACATAGCCTGAACTACATAGTAAGACCCTGTTTCAACTCCCCTCCACAAAAGTCCTAGAAATGGAGAACACAGGCCTTCAGATTAAAGAATTCATCAAGCACCCAACATCATGAATTAAAGCAATGGACACACACCAAACATACCACTGAAAAATTTTTAAATTGGAAAGGAGATTATCTAAAAATGTCCAGGAAGGACAAAAACAACATAACAGATGAGCTAAACGGACTGAGAAGGAACAGAATAACATTGCTGTAAAAACTCTGAGGTAGAATTATTTCAAATATAGAAATCTATGCTTAGCAAAATGCAGTACAAATGAAAAAAGAATAAAATATGAGACCAAGAAACAAGATGCAACCAGGAAAGGGGAAACTGCAGGATGAAAGAGGAGGCGTAGACCCAAAAGTTAACCAACTACGGAGCCAAAGAACAGAAAGTTCTGAGGTCAGGGCTCCAGGGATAAAATGGAACCAAATGATTATCTGATGTATTTGCCATTCAGAAAGTAATGACAGTACAAAATAAATCTTACTCCGGACACAGCAAAATGATGAGGATAGGCACACAAAAAAACCAAAAACAAATGAAAAAATTAGGGAAGCCTAGAAGAAACAAAAAATAGATTTGATAAGATTAATATATTTGATCATTCCATAGCAGGTCACTTAAACTCAGATAAAAAAATGAAAGCTATAAGTATGTAAACAATTACTCTTGATTTGATTAAAATTGAGGCATACTATAAGCCAAGAATGGTGGTGCACATCTGGAATTCCAGCTACACAGGAGACTAAGGCTGGAGGATCATAAGTTTGAGCCCCTCTTGGGTAATTCAGCAAGACCCTATCTCAAAATGAAAAGGCTGGGGATGTAGTTCAGTGGTAGAGCACTCCTTGGTTCAATCCCCAGTAAAATAAAGCAAGCAAGCCAAGCATATAATTACAGTGGAAAAACAGAAAAGAAACAGCATGGCATAAGAGTAAATATCTCCTACAATCAAAATCAACGAAGAATATTATAAGCATTTTTACTCAGAATCATGGAAAAAATACAGGAGGAACAGCTACAGGAGTGAAAAATGAGCTGGGTGTGATGGTATATGCCTGTAGTCACAACTGCCCAGCTATTCAGAAGGCTGAGGCAAGAGGATCTCTTGAGCCAACAAGCTACAGACCAGCCACAAAGTGAGACTTCAAGAGTTCAAAATGAAAACTATAAGCAAGGCCGGGTGTGGTGGAACATGCCTGTAATCCCAGCACTAGGGAAGCTGAGGCAGGAGGATCCAGGAAGATCATTGCGAGTTCAAGGCCAGCCTGGGCTACAAAATGAGATTAAGGCCAGCCTGAACTGCATAGTGAGACCCTGTCTCAAAAAGACAAAAACAAACTATAGGCAGCAGAATTGTGGCAAAGGCAGAGACTGGTATCCATTTTGTCACTGGTTTTTTTCTTTGTACTATTTGGTTTCGAAAAATTATTTGTATGTATTGTCAATGTCAGCATCCTGCTTGTGATATTATACTGGAGTGTTGAAAGATGTAACCACAAAGGAAAAGTGTAGAAAGGGTAAATGTGATCTGTCTACATTACTTCTTGCAACTGCATGTGAATCTACAACAACCTCATAATAAAAAGTTTAGTTCTGGGAAATGATGCAAATCAAAACTCATTAAGATTCCATCTCACCCCAATCAAAATGGTTATTATCAAGATTACAAAAATAAATGCTGGGGAGGCTGCGGGAAAAAAGGAACCCTTCTGCACTGCTGGTGGGAATGTAAATTAGTACGGCCACGATGGAAATCAGTAGAGAAGTTCCTCAAAAAAATTATAAATGAAAAGTTAGTGATATCATATACAGCTACAAATTCTTTATGATGAATGCGATCATTATGTGTATCTAAAATGTACCAATAAAATCGATTTCAATAAATAAATTTTTAAAATTAAAAAAAAACTATAAATGGAGCTACCTGTGAACCAGCTATAGCACTCATTGGTATGCATGTGAAGAGATTATGGTCAGCATACTATAGGGAGACCTGCACACCCACTTCTACGGCAACATAGATCACAATGGCCAGATACGCAACCAACCAGGTGATCATCAATAGTAATGGATCAAAGCAAATGTGATATACACACACAATGGAGTGCGTGTGTACTCATCCATAAAAAACAATGAAATTCAGTCAACTGCATAAGAATGGATGGATCTGGAGACTATGATGTAGAGTGAAACACACCAGACTCAGAAAGACAAATATCACATGTTCTCCCTAATATGTGGAATCTAAAAAATGATGAAAAAAAGAAAAAGATGACAAGGACATAGAAGGGAGACTTACCAGACAAGAGGAAGGGGACAAGGTGGGGGTGTGTGAGGGTGGGTAACAGGGGATGAATATGATCAAAATATACACTTTTTTTTTTTTTGGTACCGGGAATCGAACTCAGGACCTTGCACTTGCCCGGCAGGCGCTTATGCCACTAAGCTATGTCCCTGGCCCCAAAATACACACATTGAAAGAAAAAAAATGTGAAACTGGGGGGAAGTGGGACAAGGGGGCTCATGGGGGGGGTGATTAAAGTCTGTTACATGCATGTTCAAGTCTACCAAGATGAAACCCATTGGTTTGTACAGCCAATATGTACTAGTAAAAAATGTGGGGAAGGAAAAAGGTTAAAAAAATATATGATTTTTAAAAAGTGCAGCTGGCATGGTAGTGCATGCCGGTAATCTCTCTTTTTTTCTTTTTCTTTTTTTTTTTTTAAATGCCTGTAATCTGAACACTTAGGATACTGAGGCAGGAGGATCACCAGCCTGGGCTACATAGTGAATTCAAGGTCAGTATGAACTAGATAGTGAGAACCCATCTCAAATAAAGGTCCAAAAAATGGTATGGGGAGGAGACAAAGGGGAAAAAGCTTCTTGTTCCCCAGCCCTGTGGGCTACAGTGAATACTTAGGTATTGATCTCAAAACCAGAGTCCTGAAGAAAGCAGGCTCTTCCACAGGGGTAAGCACCAGGAGCATTGGTGTAAGGTCACCCCATGAAGTGGGGACTCCACCGTTCAACAGAGAGACAAGATGGAGAAGTTGTCTCATCAGGCCAGGCGTATTCTCTGTCACACAGCAGCTGGTTGGGTTGTGCCAAGCAGACAACCCTAACCTGAGTAAGCACAGAGGCACCACAGCCAGTCAGGAATCCCCAACTGTACCCTCTCTGCTCTCAGGCACTTTCTCCATCCAAGACTGGGAAAGAGATCTGATATAAACAGAGGTCCTGAGTGGACAGCGGGGGACAAAGCTGTACTCAAGAAAAGCACACTCTCTCTTTTGCATATATGCGCTTTTCCCTTTCACTATTCTTACTTCTTTTGTAGTACAGAGGATTGAACCCAGGCACACTCCACCACTGAGCTAGTTCCCCAGTCCTTTCTATAATTTTTTTTTTTTTTTGGTCTTTTTGAGGCAGGGTCTTGCTATGCAGTTCAGGCTGGCTTTGAGCTTACCTTATAGCCCAGGCTGGTCTTGAACTCGC